CAGGATATATACCTAGTAATGGAATTGCTGGATCATATTGTATCTCTAGTTTTTAAGGAAGCACCATACTGTTTTCCATAGTGGGTGTTCCATTTTGTGTTCCCACCAGCAGTATGTGAGAGTTCCAATCTCCCCACAGCCTTACCAGCATTTGTTGTTGTTGTTTTGATCGTTGCCCTTAATTTGCTGGAGTGAGGTGGTATCATGTTGTAGTTTTGATTTGCATCTCTAATGGCTAAAGAGGAGCCCTGGTGGCATAGTGGCTAAAGCATTCTTTGCTAACCAAAAAGCTATTCAAAACCCCCAACCACTCCAGTGGAGAAAGATGAGGCAGTCTGCTCTTGTTAAGATTTACAGTCTTGGAAACCCTATGGGGCAGTTCTACTCTGTCCTACAGGGTCACTGAGAGTCTAAATAAACTCGATTGCAGTGGGATTGGTTTGGTTTTAATGGTAATATCACTAGGTATCTTTTCATGTGTTTGTTATCCACTTGGATGTCTTCTTTGGTGAAGTATTTGTTCATGACCTTTGCCTATTTTTTAATTGAATTGTTTTTTTATTGTTTGAGGTGTTGAAGTTTTCTGTAAATTTTAGAGATTAGACCCTTTTGGGAAATGTAGCCCCAGTTTTTTCCTCAGTCTCTAGGTTCTCTTTTAACCCTTTTGGTGAAGTCTTTTGATGAGCATAAGTGTTTAAATTTCAGTAGGTCATAGTCGTCTAGTTTGTCTTCTACTGTTTGTATGTTTTATGTTTGATTTTATATTTGTGCCATATATTGGGTCCTTAGTGTTGTCCATATTATTTCTTAATAATCTTTACAGTTTTAGGTTTTACGTTTAGGTCTTTGATCCATTTTGAGTTACCTTTTATGTGTGGTGTGAGGCATGGATCCATTTCATTTTTCTACAAATGGATGTCCAGTTTTGCCAGCACTATTTGGAAGCTCTGGTAGCATAGTGCCTAAGGCACCTGACTAGCTAACCAGAAGGCTGGTGGTTCAAACCCACCAGCCACTCCTCGGAAGGAAGGTTGAGCAATCTGCTTCTGTGGTGATACTGCCTCGGCAACACAAGGAGGGGTGCTATGAGTCAGGTCCGACTCGACGGCACATAACAACATAACAACAACATTTGTTAAAGAGACTTTCTCTTCCCCGTTTCAGGGAGTCAACTCTGTCAAAGATCAGCTGTCTGTAGGTAGATGGATTTACTTCTGGGTTCTCAATTCTGTTTCATTGGTCTGTTCATCTTTTGTTGTACCAGTACTAAGCTGTGGTGTTACTATAGCTGTGTAGTAAGTTCTGAGATTGGGGAGTGTGAGACCACCAACTGTGCTCCTCTTTTTCAGTAGTGCTTTGCATATCTTAGACTCTTTCCATTTCATACAAAGCTGTTGATTAGTTTTTCCATCTCATTAAAGAATATTATTGGAATTTGAATTGGGATTGAATTACATTTCTAGATCACATTGGGTAATACATTTTTACTGTTTTAAGGCATCCTTTCCATGAACATGGTATATTCTTTTTATTGTAGGTCTCTTGGTTTCTTGTGGTAGTGTTTTGTAATTTTCTCTGTATAAATCTTTTACTCCCTATTTAGGTTTATTCTTCAGTATTTTTTTCTTATTTAGGGCTATTGTAAATGATATTTTTTTCTTAATTTCCTGTTTAGAGTTTTCTTTGTTAGTGTAGAGGAATCTATCGGTTTTTTGTGTGTTTATCTTGTATCCTGCTAGTTTGCTGAAGGAAGCAACTTTTCTTGATTGCTGTGTAAACTAGAGTATAATTTACCAGTACCCTATATACTGCATATATACTGGGTATATACTGCATGTTTAGTTTTCTTATTTTTCTAACATGAGATTCTGTTGTATTTTGTATATTGTCCTGTGGCTTATTATTTTCTTTTGGTGATCTGTGTTAGAACATAGAGGTCTCCCTAGTTCTGATAAACAGCTTCATAGTTTTCCATTTAGGAAACTGTTGTTACCTGTTTCTCTACCTAGATGGTGTCTTATTTTTCTATCTACTAAAAAAGTTTCTATGGTTCTACATTCCTATCAACATTGTACAAACATACTCCTTTCCTGCATTCTTACCAATACTGAATGTTGCAAATCTTTTAATACTTTTATATACATTATCTTTACACTTTTATGTTTAAATTGGATTGACACAGTGGCTGCAACAGTGAGCTCAACCTTAGCAATGATTGTGAGGACGGTGCAGGACTGAGCAGTGTTGCATTCCATTGTACATTGGGTTGCTAGGAGTCAGAATTGTTTTAACTACATCTGACTACATTTTCATTGACCTGTAATTTGTTCCTATGAATGGTGTAAGATTGGTATTTTGATAGAAAATTTACTAAAATATATTAGTATTCACTTATAGAAAGGATATGTAAGAGAATATATTACTGAGTTATCAGGTAAATTTTACTGCATTAAAATAAGCAATACTCTAAGGAATGACTAGGGTTTCTAATATTTATACTGGTTGGCACTAGACTTTTCTACATGGCGCACAATTCAGTAAGTAGAATGGTCATTACACTTTTAAACTCCATTACCCCTTTTCAGGGTTTCTAGGTTATCTTTACCTGTAGTACAGCAATCTTATTTTTTCGTTGCTGACTAAATCCTACTTCAGCTTAATCCCTTTCCTTACTGGTTTTTTGCTTCAGATCTCTTTTAAATTGGGCAATCAGTAAAGTGGACTAGTTGGGATTTTTGCCAAACTGACATTTAAAAGGAATTTAAAATACATGTACTCTGACCTAGCAGTGCTTCTAGAATTAATAAGTACAAAAAATGTACTTTTATTGACACCACTGTAATAGCAATAGTAATAGCAGTAACAAAATGCTAAATAAATGCACACCAACTGGAATATTGGGAGTAAGTTAGGGTACGTGGGAGGCAGTTTGTATAGCTACAACCAGTCTGTTTAATTAATAGCTTAGCTCTGCAGTTTATTAGCTCTTGAGCTTAGACAGTTTATTTAATTTCTCTTTGCCTCAGTTTTCTCAACTAATATGAGAACTAGTTGGACTGTTGGGAACTTAAGATTAATTAGTACATTTAGTGTTTAAAAAATAAGAATAAAAATAATGAGGTGATGAAATGCAAAATGTGAACTATATACACTTGTAGAAAGTTAAGAGGGGAGAGATTTGGATATTTGGTCTAAGTAAATATGTGACTTAGGGGAACATTTTCTGTTGGTTTTAGAAACTTTATAAAGAAAATTGTCACTTTTCACTTCTGAATAGTAATTTTATTTCCTCATACCTGGAACAAATCTTCCATATTCCAGCATTCTTAATAAAAGTTTTGTTTAATAAATCTTGGAAATAAACAGAAGGTTCTACCTCTCCATGGTAGAAGTTAAAGGTTCTCCATACCCTGTATGTGTACTCTCTGTTGCGGAGTTACTCTGCCCAGCCGAGCTGGACTAATGTTTTTAAGTCCTTTTAATAAGTTTGTGTGCCCAATAACCCTTTCACAAAAGTGCCAAACAATTGTGATAAATTTGAAAAATAGCAGTCTAGTTTTAGGTTCCAGCTTTTAACCCAAGTCATAAATGAATATCTTAGTATTCTTTTATTCTTTCTTAAATACTGAAAGAGGAGAGTTTACAACTTTCCTTGTTGCTTGTTTAACAATGTTTACATTCTACACTTGTTTTAGTTGGTAACATTGGAAGAACACTTATCAGAGACATCAAAGTAGATACTCTGGCCAGCAAGAGGTCACTCCCCCGCCCCCCTAAACTTTACCTTCCTTTCCTAGACTTGGGTCATGACAACTACAAAAATCTCTAGCATTAACTAACTACCGCTTTTTCACAGATAATTATTTCTGTTACATAAGGGGGAAAAGAAAAGAGAAAAGGAGAGGGATTCCTAAGCATACTCTTAAATTGGGTAAGGGAATAAATTCTCTTTCCCTTATCTGTTTACATGCTACATCCATTACATATTTCCTTTTTAAAAATTATGACTAAAGAACAAAATAGAATCAACAGGATTAGAACTTTGAGGGAGGGAGAGTAGGACTTTAAGTTGAATTAAAATCCAGTCTCCTTGTTAAAATTTACATGAAGGAGGCTGTATCATCAGTTGACTAATTCAATAAATTTGTGTTTCTGGGGCCTCTACTATATGCCCACAGCACTGTACTCCTGAGGAATGAGAAGGTGTATAAGACAATATCCATGTCTTCAGGGATTTAGTTATAAAATCTGCCTTTGTTAGCTTCTTTCTAGGACAAACTTTCATTTCCCTTTTGCCTTAATACATTATTGGTAAATCTGTTGGAACCAGTGTAGCTACTCACTGAGAAAACTGGGTTGTTTTTTTAGTTCGTGTGAGTTTATTTGAAGGGTAATCAATGTTGTGAACTTGTTTGTCACTAGAGGATGGACAGCTTGATTCTTGTGAATTGGACAAAGTTTTTGAGCTGATGAGTTTCTTCTTTAGTCTTAAATGCAGTTGATGTACATACAATTAGGTAACATTTTTTTCTTTTTCCATGTTTCTTTTCATATTCCTTCTTTGTGTCTGTCCTCTATTGTTGCCTTTCCTTTACCTTCTGAATTCCTTTCTTTCCTTTCCTGTAGGCACTGATGTTCTTTACATTGGCCCTCTGAAAGGTGAGCCTTGACACAATTGAAAACAAAGTGTTAGTCTAGTCTGTCTGCTTCAGCTGTATCCTTTACTTGTCTTCTAATTCTCTTAAGCTGATTTTTTTCCTCAGAATTTCTACCAATTTAATTTTACTTTTATGATTATTATATGTTCTAATGTTACTTAAGTAGAGATAAAGTTAATTTCACATGTTTTTAAGACAGGTAAAATTATGTACTAAGCTTTCTTTCCAGAATGAAGCTTGTGTGTTTCACAATGTGCTTTATATCATTAGAACATTTATTATTGAAAATGAAGATTATGTTGTACTTCATACTTACTACCTGTTTTTCATGTTACTTATTAGGAAGCATATATTCCAGCCCAGGACTCTATAGCAAAACAATGACCCCCACTTACGATGCTCATGATGGAAGCCCTTTGTCACCAACTTCTGCTTGGTTTGGTGATAGTGCTTTGTCAGAAGGCAATCCCGGTATACTTGCTGTCAGTCAACCAATCACATCGCCAGAAATCTTGGCAAAAATGTTCAAGCCTCAGGCTCTTCTTGATAAAGCAAAAATCAACCAGGGGTAGGTTTTAAAATACAGATATGTTTGAAGAATTTCTTTATCTGACTAGAGATAGAAATATTTTATTAACTATCTTCCACTGCTCTTGTTAATTTGACCAGCTGGCTTGATTCATCAAGATCTCTCATGGAACAAGATGTGAAGGAAAATGAGGCCTTACTTCTCCGATTCAAGTATTACAGCTTTTTTGATTTGAATCCAAAGGTACCGAGGGTTTAGAGGGATTTTTCTTAAATTTTTTCGTTTGTTGGATTGTTTTCTGTTTCCATGGGTATTTGCTTTTTGTTTTTGGAAGTCGATGCAGTAACAAATTATTTTTATATAGCAAGTCTTCCATAACATTAAAAACACAAAACTTTAAGACAAAGCCATTTATAATTTACCTCAGTCCATTATTTTAATAGGTTGGAAACTTGAAATTTTTAATAATTTATATTTTACATATTTTAAATGTACTAATTTATTACTACAGAATTAGTAAGGTTAGTTTTGTTGTACACCTTGTCTTACTTCAACTGAAATAAACTTGTTCACATTTAGGTAAAGAAAAATTTCCTGAACTATTACTTTCTTTTCTTAGTGATTTGGGTGAAAGTTTACAGAGCAAATTCATTTTCCATACAACAATTCATACACATTTTGTTCCATGACACTGATTGCAATCCCCACAATGTAACAGCTCTCTTCCCACTTTCCCCCTGTGCCTAGCTTTTCCCTATGTCCTCCTTTCCCATGCATTCCTGCCTCCTGAGCTAGACTGCCCTTCTATTCTCCCATGATTGATCATTCTAAAGAGTGTATCTACCTAATGTGAATGTTTGCCCTATATGCCTGTCTGTTTGATTAGAAGCCACAGAAGTGATGAATAAGTCACTGGTCTCTCAGTTCCAGACCTGAAGGGTATCTAGGGGCCATAGTCGTGGGGGTCTCACCAGGCTCTATTGGACCAGTAAACCTGGTCCTTTTTTTTTTTTTTTAAGATTTTGAGTTTTGTTCCATATTGTTCTCCCACTCTGTCCAGGATCTTCTGCACTGATCCCTTTCTGAGTGGTTGACAGTGGTAGCCAGGCACCATCTAGTTCTTCTGGTCTCATGGTCACAGAGGCTGAGGTTCGCATGGTCCACTAGTCCCTTGGACAACTTGTTTCCGTGTGTCTTTGGTTTTCTTCATTCTTCTTTGCACGTGATAGAATTTTGAGAGACCAGTGATTTATTTATGACAAATGCCTTTTTTCAACAAATAAACAGTGACTGTACACATGGACCTCACCAGGTAAAATACACAGAAACCAAATCAACATCTGTGGAAAGAGGTGATGGAAAAGCTCAACAACATCACGAGCTGACTCTGGAACAGACCATCAGTTGCTTACGTACAAGTTTAAACTGAAGCTGAAGAAAATTAAAACAAATCCATGAGAGCCAAAATATAAACTTTATTTATCCCACCTGAATTTAGAGGCCAATCTGAAGAACGGATTTGACACATTGAATACCAGTGATCAAGTACCAGACGAATTAGGGGATGACATCAAGAATGTCATACATGAAAAAAGCAAAAGGTCATTAAAAAGACAGGAAAGGAAGAAAAGACCAAAATGAAGTCAAAAGGGACTCTGAAATTTGCTCTTGAACAGAGAGTAGCTAAAACAAAGGGAAGAAATGATTAAATGAAAGAGCTGAATAGAAGATTTTAAAGGGTTGCTTGTGATGACAAAATATTATAATGAGATGTGCAAATATCTGCAGTTAGAAAACTGAAAGGGAAGAACACGCTTGGCATTTTGCAAGCTGAAAGAACCGAAGAACAAATCAAGCCTTGAGTTGCAATATTGAAGGATTCTATGGGCAAAATATTGAACCATGCAGGAAGCATCAAAAGAACATGTAAGGAATACATGGAGTCACTGGACCAAAAAGAATTGTGTGATGTTCAGTCATTTCAGGAGGTGTAGCATATGATTAAAAACCAAGAGTATAAAAGGAAGAAGTCCAAGCTGCACTGAAGGAATTGGTGAGACACAAGGCTCCAGGAATTGAGGAATACTCATTGAGATGTCTCAACAAACAGATGCAGCACTTGAGGTGCTAGTGTTTGCCAGAAAATTTGAAAGACAAGTAGCTGGCCAGCCAACTGGAAGAGATCCATATTTATGCACATTCCAAAGGCGATCCAACAGAATGTGGAAATTATCCAACCATGTCATTAATAATACACACAAGTAAAATTTTATTGAAAATAATTTAAAAATGGTTAATAGCAGTATATTTACAGGGAACTTCCAGAATTCAAGCCTAATTCAGAAGAGGGCGTGGAATGAGAGATACTCATTGCTGATGTCAAATGGATCTTGGCTGAAAGCAAAGAATGCCAAAAAATACCAGAAATACCAAGGCCAAGAACAGATATATGTACACCTATGTTCATCACTGCACTATTTACAATAGCAAAAAGATGGAAACAGCCTACATGTCCAGCAACAGAAGAATGGATAAGCAAACTGTGGTACATACATACAATGGAATATTATGCAACACTAAAGAATTGATGTAGAGTCTGCAAAACACCACATAGCATGGATGAACTTGGAGGACATTATACTGAGTGAAGTAAGTCTATCACAGAAAGACAAATAATAGTTTAGTTCACTATCGTAAAAAGTCAAGGAAAGGTTTATATATGGAAGGAAACTTTGCTGGTTATGAGGGGAAGGATGGGAATACTGCAAAAAAGAAAATGCATTGACCCATGTCACTTTAGTTTTGTGTATTTCACTATACATAAATTATATTTCAACAGAATATATTTAGAAAAAAAAAATACCAGGAAGATGTTTACTTGTGTTTTATTGACTATGCAAAGACATTCAACTGTGCAGTTCATAACAAATTATGGATAACATTGCAAAGAATGGGATTTTCTTGCCATACTTACTCAGTCTATATGTTGAACAGATAGATAATCAGAAAAGCTGGACTATATGAAGAGGAATATCGAGATTGGAGGAAGACTCATTGACAACCTGCAATATGCAGATGACACAATCTTGCTTGCTAGAATTGAAGATGACTTGAAGCGCTTCCTGAAGAAAATCGACTACAGTCTTCAGTATGGATTGCACCTCAACATAAAGGAAACAGAAATCCTCACTACTGGCCCATTAAGCAAGGAGCTCTGGTGGCGTAGTGTGTAAGGCATTTGACTGTGAAACAGACGGTCAAGGGTCCAAACCCACCAGCCTCTCCACAGAAGGAAGATGGAGTAATCTGCTTCTGTAAAGATCTATCACCTCGGAAACCCAGTGAGGGTTGCTGTGAGTTGGAATCAACTCAGTTCACTGAGTTTGGTTTTTGGACCAATAAGCAACGGCACAAGTAGTGGAGAAAAGATTAAAGTTGTTAGGGATTTCATTTTATTTGGATCCACAGTCAATGCCTATGGAAGCAGTCATCAGGAAGTCAGACAGCATACTGCTCTGGGCAAATCTACTGCAGGAAGATCTCTTTAAAGTGTTAAAGAGCAAAGGTGTCACTTTGAAGACTAAGGTGAACCTGACCCAACCCATGGTATTTTCAGTAGCCTCATATGCATGTAAAAGCTGGACAGTGAATAAGGAACACCAAAGAAGAATTGATAGATTTGAATTGTGATGTTGGTGAAGAATACTGAAAATACCAGTGAGTGCCAGAACAACGAACAAACCTGTCTTGGAAGAGTACATCTGGAATGTTCCTGAGAAGTGAGAATAGCCAAACTTTGTCTCACATACTTTGGTCATGTTGTCAGAAGGACCAGTCCCTAGAGAAGGATATCATGGTTGGTAAAGTAGAGGGACAGCAAAAAAGGGGAAGACTCTCAACAAGATGGATTGACACAGTGGCTACAACGATGGGCTCAAAACATAGCAAAGATAGTGAGGATGGAACAGGACCAGCCAGTGTTTCATTCTGTTGTGCATAGGGTCACTATGAGTGTTGCTTCTGTTTTTTAATTTTTTATTTTGATATGCATGAAAGTTTACAGAGCAAATTCATTTTCCACAGGGCAGTTATACACATTTGTTTCATTACATTACTGCAATTTCCCACAATGTAACAGCTCTCTTCCCATTTTTTCCCATGTCCTTCTTTTTTATATACCTTCTTATACATTCTTGCCTCCTGAGCTATCTCCCTATGCAAATACTGCCCTTCTGTTCTCCCATGATTCATCATTCTAAAGAGTGTGTCTACCTGCTGTAAATGTCCACCCTATATGTTTATCTGCTCTGTGGCTAGAAGCCACAGGAGTGAGTTCAGTTGCAGATCTGAGGGTAACTAGGGGACACAGTCTTGGGGATCTCACCAGGCTCCATCAGACCAGTAAACCTGGTCTTTTTTATGCTTTTGAGTTTTGTTCCACATTGTTCTCCCACTCTATCCAGGATCTTCTGCACTGATCCTTTTCTGAGTGGCTAACAGTGGTAGCCAGGTACTATGAGACCATCTTCTGGTCTCATGATCATATAAGCTGAGGTTCACATGGTCCACTAGTCTCTTGGACTAATTGTTTCCTTGCATCTTTGGTTTTCATCATTCTTTCCTGTAGACAAGAGACCTGTTGTTGCATGTAGATGGCCATTTGCAAGCTTTTTAAGACCCCAGTTGCTATTCACCAAAGTAGGATGTAGAACAATGTTTTGGTGTAGTAACGTCATTTGAGCTTGATGTTCCTTGTGACCATGGTCCTCAGCCCACAGGTACAACTATTTGCTCCCTCAGGGTGGTTGGCTGTGGCTAAGAAGTTACCATAACTTTGCCCCTTGTTAGAAAATTGGAGCAGTCCTGATGGCACCTAATAATAACAACAGCAACATAAGAGATCTGGAATTTTTCCCCCCAGAAAATTGGCACAGAGGGTTAGAACCTTTTCTTTTACATTGATTCTGGGGAAAAACATTTCTCTTGGCCATCCTTTTCATGTCTAGATTATAATTTATTGTCCTTTAGTATGTGATTAATTCTTTATATATGAATAAAGTATATGTAATAGAACTGTAAAAAAATATTTTTAATTCCACTTTAAGGCAACACCATGTCCAATTACAGTAAAGCCAAAGCTGTTTTAGGAACAGAGTTGCATTTTAGGGGAGGGAGTATGTGTTTTGTCAATGTTTTAAGAAATTACTAAGCCATTACTTTTATTAATAATTAAATGGATAAATGTGTAACATAAATATTTTCCACAAAGGAAAGTTTGCCCTCTATTTTGGTTATTTAAAAGAACTGCCATTTCTAATACCTGCCACTTAACCTTCAAGTTATATTTTTTATGCTGGGGGGAAAAAAAAAAACCCACTGCCATCAACTTGATTCTGACTCATAGCAACCCTCATTGGGTTTCCAAAACTGTAAATCTTAACAGAACTAGATTGCCTCATCTTCCTCCCTCGGAGCAGCTGGTAGGTTTGAACTGCTGACCTTCCGGTTAGCAGCCAAATGCTTTACCCATTACATCACCAGAGCTCCTTATTTATTTACATTAGGGGCTATAATATCTAATCGTTATTTCCCTTAGAATTAATAAGTATAGATGAGTAATAAATTATCTTTTGATTTATTCTAGTGTCACTTTCTTTAAATTTTACTTTGTTCTTGTGAATATACATAGCAGGACATAAAACAATTCAACAGTTTCAGCATGTTCCATTTAGTGACACAGATTATATTCTCTGAGTTGTGCAGCCAGTCTCATCCTCTTTTCTGAGTTGTTCTCTCTCATTAACATGAACTCACTGCTCCTAAGGTTCCTACCTACTATTTTCAGTTGTTGTTGTCAATATTATCTCATATAAATAGTTCTTAAAAAGAGGATAATGCTCATCGCAGAAATTTTTACTAAACTAAGTTTTTGTTTGGTATTAGCTCAAATGGCACAGTCGTTGAGGCATTTGGCTGCTTACCAAAAAGTTGTTGGCAGTTTGAACCTACCAGCTGCTCCACCGGAGAAAGAGGCAATCCAGCACTTCTACTTTATCCTATAGGGTCACTAGGAGTCTCGGGTGACTCATGGACAGTGTGTTTAGTTTGAAGACTTCAGGGGATATTTTTGGTTTAAGATTTAATAATTATTTCAAGGGCAGTAGTTTCAGAGGTTCATCCATGTTCCAGAATGCCTAGAATCCATGAGAAATTGAAATTATGTTCTTCATTTTCCCTTTTTGATCAGAATTCTTCTATGGAATCTTTGATCAAAATGTTCATTAATAGTAGCTGGGCATTATCCATTTCTTCTGATCTCATGGCAAAGGAGGCAGTTTTTCATGGACGCATTTAGCCACACATTTCATATCCTTCTATTCCTGACTGTCCTTCTTGTTGTTTCAGGTAAATAGAGACAAATTTCAGTGTCACTTCTAATAGAAAATTAAGTGTGTGTGTGTGTGTGTGTGTGTGTGTGTGTGAAAACGCTATAGATATGTTTCTTATAATTGGTACTTGGTAGTGAATAAAAATCCAAGAAAAAATTTAAACATTAAGTTTTCTTGTCAAGCTTTAAATATAACTATTCAGAGGTTTCAGACTTTTTACAGCTGAAGATCTTAGAAACCAACTGTGTCGTTCTTTTGCTGCAGTATGATGCAATTAGAATCAACCAGCTTTATGAGCAAGCCAAGTGGGCTATTCTCCTGGAAGAAATTGAATGCACAGAAGAAGAGATGATGATGTTTGCAGCTTTGCAGGTATTTGAGAGAATTAGTAAATGGTACTTTGGGGCAAATATCAAGAGTCTGTTTTTAATAGTGAAGTGGCATAATAATCCTAGTAGTTTTTGGTATTTACTTTTTGCTATTTAGAAAATAAGTAGATACATAAATATGTGAATTTAGTTTATTCTTCTGTATTCTGTAAAGAAAAATTAGCCTCCCACCCCAGGTATTCCATTTTAAAACTAGCCAGTTTTCCCTTGAAATAAAATTACATAACAAACTTAAATAAGTAGGTACTGTTTTGCTTAGATTAAAAATAGTGTTTTTCAAAGTGTGGTCCTTGCACACTCTCTACCTTCAGAATTACAGTGGTACTTGTTGCAAAACAAAATGCACACTTAAATACTGACCCAGACCAGACTCAACGCCGTCAAGTCAACTGCCGTCAAGTCGGATCCAACTCATAGTGACCCCTCCTTGGGTTTCCAAGAAAGTATCAGTACGGAAGTAGATTGTCCAAACTTCCTTCCGAGGAGTGGCTGGTGGGTTTGAACCGCCAGCTTTCTGATTGGCAGTCAAATGCCTTAGGCACTACGCCACCAGAGCTACTACTTCAGTATTACTCCATTTAAAACTACTTTAGGGTGGGCTCTACAAGTCAGCATTTCTTAGAGACGCTGAGGTCTGATGACTACCAGATTCATTTAAAATTAGGGTAGAATTCTAGTTTTGAATAATGTTCTGATAAACTTAATGTTCTTTAAATAACAGAAGTACAGAAAGCAAAGCTGACATTCAGTTATGAAAAGCTTTCATTATAAAAGTGAGTTCATTTTTCTCCTTAGAAAACAAAAATACCCATAATCCTCTAAATGCTTTTGTGTACCCAGAAAAATTTACCAGTTTAAAAAGTCTTTTAGAAAGTAAGAACAGCTAATTTCTCCTTCGTTTACATGATTCAAGAAGGGAGTCAAGAAATACAGGCAGGGAAATCATTGGCAGATAGATTCATTTGTTTTCTAGAGAACAGATGTAAAGGGGAGTCACCTACTTAACCCTTTTATGACTTGTGGGACACATATCACCCACCAGCATTTTTAGCCTCTCCCATTTCTTGGGAAGCTTTTATCCCAGTTATAGTACATGCTACTGCCTGGGGGGACCTGGATAACTGCATGAGTCTGAACAAACGGGCCTCATTCCACCAATCTTACCACCAGTAGAAACACCTCAGTTTATTTATGGAGACTGAATGATCCCAAAGCATATTCCTCCTATGTCTAGATGTAATGGGAGGATTTTAGACAATAAATCCCCTTTGTTGTTAGAAGACTTTCCAGAGACTGACCTGAAGGCTGTAGGGGCCATCCAGTACCAGAAAATAAAACTATTTGCAAGTATGATGAAGAAATACCTAGTATTTTCTATTTGAGACTTAACCTACATTGAAACTGTAACTGTGTTCCCCTTGGGGCTTCTAGTTCCTCTTGTAAAAGAAATCTAAGTAAAACAATAATAAAAAGAAATAATTCAAAGTAAGAAGCTATGCAGAACACATACCCTAGGGAGATGCACCCCCTAGATCAACCAACCATGAGAAATTAGAAGGGCAGCATTTACATAGAGGGAGAGCTGGACCGACAGGAATGCATAGACGAGAAGGACACGGAAGGGATAGTCACAGGGCAGAGATGAGAAGGAAAGCTGTTAACGGTTCGGGATTGTAATCAGGGTGTGAAACCAAATGTGCATGAACTGTTGTAAGTAAAACTAATTTACTTTGTGAATTTGCACCCATATCACAATAAAAGGATTACCAAAAAACGAGTGAGAATCTATGTATAAAAAATAAAGTGGATAAGTCAGTAGCATTGTTTTTAAAGCATTTGGTGCCAAGTATGTAGTATAATTTTTAACAGATGTTCCATGCACCTTTGAAAGCCAAGCTGGATTTTATGACATCACAGCCAGGGTTTCCCTAAGTATGACTCATGAGAACCTTTTACATCAGAATTACCTAGGGTGCTTAGTAAAAATGCAGACTCTAAGTTGGATGCCAAATTTGCTGAATCAGAATCTCCAGGTTTAAACCTAGAGATCTATTATTTTTAACCCACTGTCCAGATGATTCTTAATATCCTCTGAATTTGGGGGCCATTGACAACTGGGCCTTAGCTTACCTCCTTCTTCATTATTTGTGAACACGGGAGTTTGTATCACTGTAAAGATCTCATTTTGGCACAAGTGAAGGTATAGCCAGACGATTCATCGTTAATTCACTAAATCTTAAAACTCGGAGAAACACAGATAATTATTTGGCCTCAGATTAGTTCATTAATGTTCTCATGAATACATTGTATTCAGCAAATGAATACTTTAGGAATTTGGAGTGTTATTTACTACTTTGAAAGGTATCTGACTGAGTTTTTCCAGTAGATCTTCTGACCTTTCTTCTGAAGTACTTCTAGGTGGACTTGGACCTAAATACTTTAAAAACAGAATAAACTTTTCAGTTTGTAGCTGAGCAAATTAACTGTTTGTACCACTCAAGGACTCCATTTAAAAGCAAAGGTTTTTCTATCTATATATAGAGGTACAGTTACCACACCACTCACTGCTCTTATCACTCATTCACTCATTCATTCATTTGTGTGTGTGTGTTCACACATAAACATCATCTCTCCTTCTTATGTAACTGAGAATGTAAACATATGGTTCTGGTGTTGTTTCAGCTTGAAATGAGCATGAGGGAGGAACTTTCACTTTCAGCATAATGGGTGATAAGTAACTTTTAATAGTAATGTAAGGTAACCACAGTTAACCATTTCTACAAAAGATGTTAAGTATATTCTGTTTATCATGCAATATGCATTGATACTAGGCCCTGTTTCAGACACAGGGAATATACTGCAGTGGGAAAAAAAAAAAGTTAAAAAAAAAAAATCTCTGCTCATGCAGAGCTTAGTGAAGTATCAACTCTGTAAGTCCTAAGAACTCCCAAACTAGTAATTCATTTGTATATGTCCAGAGACCCTACATCCTATGGGCATTTATTAGCTTGCTTAGGCTATTGATTTTAGGTGCTGCACCTTTTGATTTTCCTATGGTTCTAGTTCTTCGACATTTATATTTTCAAATTAGATAAAAAAAGCATTCAATATAGATAGTAATTTCCTTTTAATAAAATGTCATTTCTGGTTTTAGTATCATATCAATAAGCTGTCAATCATGACATCAGAAAACCATTTGAACAACAGTGACAAAGAAGTTGATGAGGTTGATGCTGCCCTTTCAGACCTGGAGATTACTTTGGAAGGGGGTAAAACATCGACAGTTTTGGTACGGTGAATCTTTTTACCTGTGAACTTGAGTTGATGGTGCTATTTAAGCAATTACTTTACATTTGATACTTGTCTCTTTGTAAGTTAGGTTCTCATGAAGGGGGGGGGGGAGAAATATTTAATGCTTTAGAGAAGTCAGACATTGATTTTTCAGGAATTTAAGGGGAAAATTTTTAAGTGAATGTTGCACTTAAAGTCTCTATTGCTTCCAACACAGTAAAGGTAGGTCCTTACTCTAATACTTTACACATTCTTTTAGAAGTTGTGGGAGAACATTTCTGCACAAGAAAACTTCATCTCAAGCCCTTTTAAAACACTAAATAAATTTAGCAATACACACATTTGAAATATTACAGAAGGAAAAATAGATCTCAGGAAAATTTTTAAATGGTAAGTTGGTTTTTAAAGCTTGTTGTTGTTGTTGTTTATGTGCCGTCGAGTCAGACCCGACTCATAGCGACCCCTCCTTGGGGTTCCGAGGCAGTATCACTACGGAAGTAGATTGCCCCATCTTCCTTCTGAGGAGTGGCTGGTGGGTTTGAATCGCCAGCCTTCCGGTTAGCAGTCAAGTGACTTACACACTATGCTACCAGAGCTCCTTAGGTATTAGTTATTGCTAAGGAAACATTTATCTCAGGGTGGTTATGATTTACAAAGTTGTGTATAACTACATACTATATTCTTGTGGATTGTGTAAGTTGCTATTTTGATCAGATTTTTATTAGCTTTTTCTGCCATTTGAAAAATGATAGTGTTCATATGACCATAATCCATATGACCTTATCTTTACAATCTGTATTTTATGGAATTCTATTTGTTTATTAAATAAACTGGTTCTTGAGAGCAGGTATTAGGAAGAAATTCGAAATTAAAAATTTCTTAAGTGATTTAACTCTCTACCTAGGGTGACATCACTTCTATTCCTGAACTTGCTGACTATATTAAAGTTTTCAAGTAAGTACAAAAAAGGGAGGGGATTCTAGGTGTTAATGAGGAGATGTTATCCAGTCATGTCCCCATTAAGTTTGACAAATGTATAAAAAATGGTAATTACAGAAAATAACCGTCTTTACCAAATTAAAATCACATTACTCATTAAGTTGTTTTGTCTAATAAACATTAAAAAAAAACAAGATTGTATCGTAGAGATGCTGTGACACAGGGACATAACAGCATAAAGCGTCCCCTCTGTGTTCTCAGGCGACAGCAATAAATAATGAGCTGTTACTTCTAGTGGTCTTATTCAGACCCCTATATTCTATTGACTTTTGTTTGTTTATAATACATTTTATATAGTAAGGTTCCAGTATATTTTATATATACATATATATGTGTGTGTGTATACACACACACACACACACACATACACATACATATATATATTAGACTTTTTAATCATTCAGTCCAACCATATTCCATAGAATCAAGAGAAGTGGACATTAAGGCAAAGAGGGGAAGGAGATGACATGGAATACACTTTTTCTACTATGTAAGGTTTAAAGCTGTTATGGAATAAATCATTCACTGTAGCTGAACATACGATAGTTGAAAATATATAACACTTCTAAGAGAAGGGCAAGAGTTCAGGTATCACTACCCTACCTCCTCTTCCTTCTCCCTTAGTATGCTTTTTCTTTGTCTAACACCTTTCCTTGTCCACTTTCCCTTATAACCCCCTCCATCTTCTTCTGTGTTTGACATTGGAGTGGCAAGTTAATGTCACCATTGAAATATATCCTTGATGGCAGCAAGAACATCCCCCAGTTCCAGTCATGCCAAGTAAATAGAGGCTTCTCAGGCAGCTCTATGGCACACCCATGAACCTATAGGTAATTATGGCACCGAGAAAACTTCCAATTATTGAAGTTACCTTTCTTTTCTTGTCCTTTTCATGTGACCTGCTAAGGATAAATAAAATGGATACCACTGACAGTACAGTAGTCTCTCCTTATCCATGATACTGCTTTCCACATTTACCAGGGTCAAACACAGTCCAAAAATATTAAATGGAAAATTCCAGAAATAATCATTTTATAAGTTTTAAATTGAGTGCTGATCTGAGTAGCGTGATGAAGTTCTGCTCCATCCTGCCTGGAATTGAATGATCCCTTTGTCCAGTGTGTGTATACGCTACCTATTAGTCACTGACTGGCCGTCTTGGTTATCAGATTTGACTGTCAGGATACCACAGTGCTTGGGTTCAGGTAATCCTTATTTTACTTAACAATTGTCCTGTTTTATTATTAGCTATTATGTTAATCATTTACTGTGTCCAATTTATAAATTAAATATTCTCATAAGTGTTTATGTATAGAAAAAAACAGACACAGGTTTGGTACTATCTGTGGTTTTAGGCATCAATTGAGAGTCTTGGAACATATGCTCTACAGATAATAGGGGACTACTGTACTAGAATGTTAGCCCTGTTCTTTTCTACCTACTTACTGTTTCTGAGATCTTCCTGAGTAGATAGGTTAGATTTAGAAGGGAGGGACAGTTCAAATAGGAACAACATTTAATACAAAGACACTGGCCACAGAGGACTTAGTTCAGCATATGTAAAATCTGGCCTCAGGTTTTAAAAGTCAGCTATTTAGTAGCATATATTCTGTGGTACTAAACCATAGCACTGATAAACTTACTTCAGAAGTGGTTTTCCTCTTAATTTTATTTGATACAGGCCAAAAAAGCTAACTTTAAAAGGTTACAAGCAGTACTGGTGCACCTTTAAAGACACATCTATTTCTTGTTATAAGAGCAAAGAAGAATCCAGTGGTACACCAGCTCATCAAATGAACCTAAGAGGTAAGGAAAGCCTTGAAATCATGGTCAAATACAAGAACAAAAAAAAAATCATTTTAACTATTTTTAAGTATATAATTCTATAACATAAAATGTATTCACCATGTTGTATAACCACAATTGCTATCTGTTTCCAAAATTTTTTCATTACCTCAAATAAGAACTCGATACCGCTTAAGCAACAGCTCCCTCATTTCCCCCACCCTTAGTAACTACTAATAAACTTTGGTCTCTGTGCATTTGCCTATTCTAGATATTTCTTATAAGTAGAATCATTCAGTATTTGTCCTTTTGTGTCTAACTTACTTCATTCAGCATAATGTTTTCAAAGTTCATTCATGTCATAGCAAGCATCAGAATTTCATTTCTCTTTATACCTTAGTAACATTTTTCTTAGATGGTATTTTGTTTATCTTTTCATCTATTGCTGGCCACCTGGGTTTCTAACTGCAAAAAAGGCATGGGTGCAGCATCTTCTGGCCTCTTCCAACTTCAAAAGAGGGAGACAGAATCACCATCAGCAGCCCAAGGCTTATTCCTATGAAGCCAAACATGCTGCCACCCTTCAGACTTTTTACCAACTCTGACATCAGCTGTCCTTCCCATGGCACTCACTGCTTCTCTGCTGGGTTCGATAATTCATTGTGATGGTCACATGGAACTCACAGACAGTACTCAAGATTGTGGTGTTTATTAGGGAAGTAACAGGCTACAGTTCAGGTTCAGGAATGTGCTCAGGATACAGTTCTTCCATCAGACTAGTCTTCATCTGCTGTGCCCTCAGACGTACTTCTGCTCAGGTGAGTGTCACAAGGCTCTTTTAGCTCTGTCAATAGGTCCATCTAGGTATACCCCACTCTGCCAGCAAGGCTTCTCCGCAAGTGGATTCAACTTTCTCACTCCATGGGCCAGGAAAGCCCACCGCTCTGTCTCATCTCATGGTTCCACTACACCTGTCTTTCTGCCAGACATCTCTGCCACAGAGGTCCAGTGTAGGGATCTTGGGTCCAAGGACACACTCTACTCTAACTCCAGCTCTTCTCTCTTGATGGTAGTGAGATTCCCCCCTTCTGCCTCTAGGAGAGCTCATTTTAAGCCTAACAGAATGACGAAACTATCCAATCCCAACATTAGCATTCCATACACATTTGCATGGTCCCACCCCATACCGTGGTGGGAGTCACAAAGACTAAGGCTAGAAAAGCCATGCCAAATGATTCACCACACCACACTACCTTTTCGCTATTGTGAGTAATGCTTCAAGAAACATTGATGAACAAGTATCTCTTCTGTTCCTGCTTCCATTTCTTTAGAATATATACCTAGGAATGGAATTGCTGAATCTTAAGTAGTTTTCCACCATTCATCTGTCAGTTTGTCGTACTGTGGTGGCTTGCATGTTGTGTTGGTGTTAGAAGCTATGCCACCAATATTTCAGATACCAGCAGAGTCACCCATGGTGGACAGTTTCCAGCAGAGCATCCAGACTCAGACAGACTAGAAAGATGGAAGAGGGTATCCACTTCTGAGAAAAATTAGCTACCGAAAACCTTATGAGAATAGCAGTGAAATACTGTCGGAAGATCGAGTTCCTTAGATTGGAAGCACTCAGATTACAACTGGGGAAGCACTGCCTCCTCAAAGTAAAGGCAACCTTAACAACATGGATTATGTAAAGCTTTGGGACCTTCAGTTACTGTTGTGGCAGAACTCAAAATGTGAAGAAACAAGACACACATCCATTAATAATCTGAACATGGAATGTACAAAATAGTCTAGGAAAATTGGAAGTTTTTAAAACTGAAATGGGATGCCTAAAGATCGGTATACCAGGCATTAATGAATCAGAAAATTATATGGTCTGCTATTCCAGGAAAGAGAAATTGAAGAAAAGTGGGTCACAGTATTTCAATATCTATCGAAGTACAGTGCTGTCACTGATAGGATAAAATCCATACACCTACAAGGAAAGGCCAGTTAATACTAGTGTTATTCAAATACATGCACCAACCACCATAGCCAAAGATGAAGAAATTGAATATTTTTATCAACTTCTGCAGTCTGAAATTGACCAGATATGTGGTCAAGATGAACTGATAATTATTGGTGATTGAAATGCAAAAGTTGAAAAGGAAGAAGCATCAGTAGTTGGAAAATATGGCCTTGGTGACAGAAATGACATCAGAGATTGAATGGTGGCATTTTGCAAGACATACCTTTTTTCAACTACATAAATGGCAGCTGTATACATGGACTTACCTGGATGGAATACATAGTAATCAAATTGACTACATCTATGCAAAGAGACGATGGAGAAACTCAATATCATCAGTCAAAACAAAGCCAGGAGCTGACTCTAGAGCAGACCATCAATTGCTCATATGCAAATTTTAGATGAAGCTTAAAAATTAAAAGCTTAAAATTAAAACAAATCCACAAGAGCCAAAATGCAACCTTTATTATATTTCACCTGAATTTAGAGACCATCAACAGAACAGATTTGACATACTGAGCACCAGTGACTGAAGACCAGATGCATTGTGGGAGGACATGAAGAAAGCAGAAGGTCATTAAAAAGACAGGAAAGTAAGAAAAGATCAAAATGGATGTCAGGAAGCTCTGAAACTTGCTTGTGAACAGAGTTGCTGAAGTGAATGGAAGAAATGAAGATGTAAAAGAGCTGCATGGAAGATTTCAGAGAGTGGCTCTAGAAGACAAAGTGTTACAATGAAATGTGCAGAGTCCTGGAGTTAGATGATCAAAAGAGAAGAACATGCTCAGCATTTCTCAAGTTGAAAGAACTGAAGAAAAAATTAAAGCCTTGAGGAGCAATATTGAAAAATTACATGGGCAAAATGTTGACCAACGTAAGAAGCATCAAAAGAAGATGGAAGAAATACAGAGTCACTTTACCAAAAAGAATTGGTTGACTTTCAAACATTTCAAGAGATAGCATATGATCAAGAACTGATGGTACTGAAGGAAAAAGTCCAAGCTGCACTGAAGAAATTGGTGAAAAAAAGACTCCAGGAATTGATAGAATACCCACTGAAATGTTTCAACAAATGCATGCAGCTCTGGAGGTGCTTGCTTGTTATTGCCAAGAAATTTGGAGGACAGCTACCTGGCTGTCCAAATGGAAGAGATCCATATTTGTGCCCATCCCAAAGTAAGGTGATCCAATAGAATGTGGAAAGTATCCAGCCATACCATTAATAACACACACAAGTAAAATTGTGAAGATAATTCAAAAATGGTTGTAGTGGTATAATGACAAGGAACTTCCAGAAATTCAAGCTGGATTCAGAAGAGGACATGGAACAAGGAATATCATTGCTGATGTCATATGGATCTTGGCTGGAAAGATGTTTACTTGTGTTTTATTGACTATGCAAAGACATTTGACTTGTGTGGATCATGACAAGTTATGAATAACATTCCTAAGAATGGGAATTCCAGAACACTTAATTGTGCTCATGAGGTACCTGGCCAAGAAGCTATCACTCAGACAAAACAAAGAGATACTGCGTAGTGTAAAATCAGGAAAGGTGTATGTCAGGGTTGTATCTTTCCACTGTATTTACTCATTCTATATGCTGAGCAAATAATCTGAGAAGCAGGACTATATGGGGAGGAATGTGGCGTCGGGATTAGAGGAAGACTAATTAACAACATTCAGTATGTAGGACACAACCTGGCTTGCAGAAAGTAAAGAAGACTTGAAGCACTTACTGATGAAGATCAAAGACTGTAGTCTTTAGTATGGATTATACCTCAATATAAAGAAAACAAAAATTCTCAAACGTGGACCAATAAGCAGCATCGCGATAAACAGAAAAAAGACTGAAGTTGTCAAAAGATTTCATTTTACTTGGATCCACAATCAACATTCATGGAAGCAGCAGTCAAGAAATGAGATGTCTTATTATACTGGGCAAATGTGCTGCAAAAGAACTGTTAAGAAAGAAATATATCACTTAGAAGACTAAATGCACATAACCCAAGCCATGATATTTTCAGTCACCTCATATACACGTGAAAGCTGGACAGTGAAGAAGAAAAACCAAAGAAGAGTTGATGTCTTTGAATTGTGGTGTTGGTGAAGAATACTGAATATACATGGACTGCCAAAAGAACAAACAAATCTGCTCTGGAAGAAGTACAGCCAGAATGCTTGTTGGAAGCAAGAATAGCCAGATTTTGTCTCACCTGCTGTATTAGGCTGGATTTCTAGGGAAGCAAAACCAGTGAAGCTTATATACACATAGAGCAAAAGAGAAATTTATCTTAGGAAAATGGCTCACACGCTTGATCCCAAGTTCTTGGATCAAACGTCAAGCTGGAGGCTTTTCCTGACTCATGCAGCTGCAGGGGCTGACGAGCTCAAGGTTGGCAGGCAGTATACTGGCTGTTGACTCCAATGAATGAATCCAAGATCTCCAGGCCAAATGGTGGATTGTTGGCTCACAGACAGTTGTAGGCAGCACAACAGGATCCCGATCCACAGAAGAGTATCTCTTTTCCCATGACGTCCATAAATGTATTGGAAGCAGGCCACACCCTAGGCAAACTTCCTCTCAACAGATTGTCTGCTCAAAACATATACATCTGATTCTGCCATAGGAATAACCCACATCACAACTGCTTAAACCATACAGAATTGTGATCCAGCCAAGTTGACACACAGCTCCAACTGTCACAGTCTATCCCTTGTCATATTGGCAGTTGTACACATCATCTTAACTATATATAATCTCTAAATAAGGACAATTGTAAAGTTATATTTCCACCTAACGTGATACACTAGCACGCATACAACCGAAACGCATTAACCTTGTTTACACTTCACAGTTCATAACAGAAGGAAACAAAAATATTTGATGCACATATACAATGAAGAAATACAACAATCACAGTCCTTGTTTCTGCATCTGGTCACGTAGTTGTAGTTGATACTCAGAACTACCTTCTTCCACCACCCATTCTGTATTTCCCTTGCCCTC